TTACAATATCGAGCTAGCTTATTTGAGGCTTAGCCTGTGATTGCTTAGGTATTAGCTATCAGTGCAAAAATATGTAGATATCGATATGGTATCTGGCCTTTCAGTAGCGAAAAGTGCCCGAGAAACACCTAAGAACTCTTAGAAGCAAGCTGCTCGCTAGTGGAGTGGGCGGAGACCGATGCAATACCATGCGTTGCTTTGCTCCTTCTCATTGGCCATCCCACCCTCATAATTGTTGTGAAGGTTAGTTAAAAGGATGGTCAGACTCCATACAAGCACTGAGGGAAAAACCACTGAAGAAGTCGTTATTTTGCTCTGATGGTTGGGCAAGGGTCAGACAGCTGGTAATGTACTGCTTTTGAGCTCATCAATTGGGGCACGAATCCACATTCCACACACCACCACGTCCTTTCAACGGCTCATAGGAATTTCCTTGCTCTCTGCTGTTCTGGCCGATCTTTCAGGGTTAGATACCCCCGACTGCTACATCTACTTTTGGGGCCTGATTGACAACCTGCACCTAAACAACATGCAGGCGTATTGTGCCTTTGAAGTTCAGCTTCATTATTATATTGCTCCTACTTACCTTCTGTGGCACCTAATCTTTTAATAGGAGGCCCGACCGAAGAGTTAGTGAACCTAACTGCCCATTGAAATACAGGCGTAGGCGTGAAAACAGACGTCAGATTCCGATGTGAGTACTTCGACATCGTTAAATCTCACTTTTTGCAGGTCCTCGAGGAGAACGTGGACCACCTGGACCGCCGGTAAGAACATCTGTCAACACTGTGTGAAGCAACATAGTAAAGTTACACCCCTTGAAAGCAGAGGGCACATTTTGCTTCTATGCCCTTCACAATTCTTAATTACCAATCTATTATATATCATTCTTGTCATCATTACATAATTATTTTTTATTTTGTATTTTTTATATTTTATGTTTGAATACAACATCGATATCTTTTATTTCAACTTTTAAATCACCACTCAAACTCGTGGAATTGTTATTACTACTACTATCATTTTCTGTAATTGGTTGTGGTAATGATTTGGAAATATTACTATATATAATGTGGTTATTATATGTTTGTTATTAAAACTATTGTTTCCGTTTTATTATAATTTTGAGCTTCTCGTGGTTTTCGCTTCGTTAATTGCAGTGAAAAACAACGCAAACATAAACAAGGCTAAAAGAAAAAAGCTTATTTTTGTTGTTGTTGTTGTTGTTCATTTGTTGTTTTCTTTTTTTTTTTGAATTCTAAATCACTTATTCTATTGATTTATTTGAAACTAATTTTGACGCTCCCACGCGATTCACTGAGAGTCAGAAGCGGTGCAACTATTTTACGAATTTATTGATGGCGCAATTTCCTGCGAGTTTGTCCCTATTTCTTTAATATATTATCATTATTGATTTATTTATTTACTTACTCACTTATTTATTATTTATTTATTCATTCTTCATCTATTTATCATTTGTTTATTGCAGTTAATCATGTAAATACCCACAACCAGCTGGGAATCATTTTATTGATTATCTATAATTTTTATTTCATTTTATTTTTTCTCTCCAAGGAATTGATAATGCGGATTCTTTCCGATGCACAATAATTACATTTCTATTTTTATCCATGGAATTTCAGTAATTCGAGTTTTTCCAAGACCAAAACTTTATAGGGTAACAGAGGATACAACGGATGGCCAGTAGGTTAACTACAGTATCTGAATTTGGTTAGAGTGACCCACTTTGCTGAAGCTAACCCAAGCTATTTAATGCACCAGTTCCGGTATGGAATTTTCCAGAGAGTCCATTGCTATGTAAAAGAATTTAATCCGTCTTCTTAACGGTTATATTTTCTGGAAAATTCCTCGGCAGCCTTGGTTCATGTGCATATTCGTTGTAAATTGTGATATTTTGGTTGATGTGTCGTAGCCGTATCGTGACATTTTAGGGAGCATCAGCGCCGTACTATCGTCGTAGGACTACTGCCGCTCCGCCACATGTATGTGTGTCGTTAGGTTCCTGTAATTCAGTACCGTATTTCGTGATGGTGATTCATTGTTGTGCTTGTAGCCGTTGGATGCACGACTTCAACGAAAACTTCGTGCCTTCGGCATGCTCTACTCGCCGGACGGACAGGCGATTCAACTTCGGGGATCGCCTGGGCCACCTGGACCACCGGTACGCTTATCTATGCCTGCGACCAGGCGCATTATCTTATGAATGCACGACGGCCATTGGTCACTTTTTTTCCAATAGAATGGCATAGCCACGCCCCTTTTGCTCGCATCTTGTGCCGATGTCAGACTTTGCGAATCGCGCGATTCGCTAGCGTCCGCGGTCGCGTTGCGGTACCAGCCAATTGAGTGATTCACTGGCCGCGACGCGACCGCAGACGCTAGCGAATCGCGCGATTCGCAAAGTCTGACATCGGCCTTGAGGAACCTGCCAATTCGACGATTCCTTTTCAAGAAACCTATCCTCTCTTCGGAAGACGAGAAGAGCGTCGAGTGCAGACCACACACCACAAGTTACGACCTCCAATACCAGAAGCCACTTTTTTCTCGGCCGTTGTCTCTTGTGGTGTGGGATCTGTGCTCGACGCCCTTCTCGTATCTAGAGGTAGGTTATTTTCAAGGGATCGATCAAGCAAGATCTACCAGTACTAGAACAGGATGTTTCTACGGTTTAGTTCCATATAATTACCACAGTGGTGATTTGAGTAACATGTCGTGGCCACGCCCCTTTTACTCGCCCTCCTGCCAACTGTAGTAGTTTCTCTACTGAAAACCTTAATTAAGACCTAACTAACTTGGGATGCCTTGAGAGCATGCATTCCTGCCATGAAATACTTCTCGATCAGTCACATCCAACATCGCTCGCGTCGTGGTTTCAGTAATGAATTCCGTTTCCTTTTTCGTTTGCCTGGCCACAACGCGCCTGTTCATAGTGACCTAATCGATAACTATCTTTAAGCAAGGCATTAGAATAGTGACGAAGTGGAGAGCCCGAGCCCTCTTTTCAATTATAAATACTGTGATTTTACTTTTTGCACTCTTAAGTTTTCAATTTCAGGGCACCAAAGGCGCTCGTGGATATCCTGGTTTTCCGGTGTGTCATCATTCTTGGTTTCCTCAGTTATCAGTCCTAGTTTTCGTTTGTTGAATCTTGCATTGATGATGGCCGATTGCGTTGTTTTGTGTTACTGTAGCCATAGCCTAGAAGGCTAGAAGGCCAGGATGTAGGCTCAAGACCACTTCTGTGTGGCAGGC